GACCGGCTCAACCAAGATGAAGTTAATACCTGGCTTGCCCTCCGCCGTAGCTCCAGCCGGCGCCGTGGTTAATAACGCTGATTCCAGGTATGGAATTTTCTTTCCTGTCTTCCTTCAGTCTCCCTGTTCTCTTCAGTCTTCCTTTATGCGAGTGTGTGAATCCAGTTTAGTTTGGTAGGCGTCTGATCATGGTTAGCCACGGCTTACCAAGCTAACGTGGGACAATGTGTGTGACAACGCCCCTTATAGCTATAGTGTATTCAGTTCGGTTTTTGAACTGCGATGTTCCTGGCGGGTTGTGCCAGCATTGTGCAGCAAGTGTGCTGTGGTTTTTCAGGTCCTATTTGGAGGACAGTTCTTTCCCCTTTTGACCCCGTGAGATCGTGTTAACCTGGTGTGCTTCTACTTTATGATTTGTTTATCAGTTCATTCTTCTGTCTATTCCAAACGTTATCATTTCCGATTTTATTTGCCATACTCCGGTTGACGCTCTTCCAGTAATTCGCGATCTACTATAATGTTCACGACTCCATACCTGTATTATATTATGCAAGTCATCCATTCTGCCTATCTCTTATCGTCGAGTTTATTCCTACGCGACCATGCATGCCGCCAGTTTTTTTTCTAAATAGCAGCCAGTTGTTGATGTCAGCTATCACCTACATGTAGTATTCGAATCACGAGGACGTGATTGTATTTGAGAGGGGAGGTGTAGCGTTGGCACGCTGGTGACTTCAAAGCGTATAGCGTTTAGTGTTTAGAGTATAGCATATCCCCGTACTGTATCCCCATACGTTAGCGTATCCCCGTACATTAGCGTACGGAGTCTGCCTTTGTATCGAAGCTGCTGCTCACGATTCTTTTATATATCCAGTTAGATAATTTAGTTGCCAGTCAGTTCATTAAGTAATCAGTTAATTTCATGGCCAGTTATAGTTACATTTCAATTGCCAGTTACAGTGTGTTCACTGAGACCCTTGTGTATTCTTGCCTCCGAGAGACTGCGGCCCGCTGCATATGTCCTCTGCCTTCATGATTGGATGTCCACTTCGTTTGAACAACGAACACAACAATCGAGGACGGCTTTGCAATGAAAACTACAGCTATACTGGAGCTGAAAAAAAGGAAGAAAAAAACGTGCTCAGGATGAGACTCGAGTACACGTATACTCTCCCAGCAGGTGAAACGCACATTTTTGTGAAAAATGCGTGTCGCCACTGACCAGTAATTTCGCCTGACGTGGTTCTGCCTGGTTTATGGTGAACAGTGAAATCGAAATCTGCCAGGAACGCGCTTCTCGTTTGGTAAGACTGGACTTAGTTCTCAGGTAAAGAACTGCCATGTTATCCGTGAAAACATCAAATGTTTAAATAGTTACTTACGCCAGCACTTTCAAGGTTTGAACTACAGCCAGCGTTTCTCTTTCTCCTGCAGTGTAATTCCGCTCAGCGGCTGACAGTTTCCAGCTGGCGTACGCAACTGGATGCCACTCATTCTCTTTGCCTCCTTCCTGAAGAAGCACTCATGCGATAGCAAAATCTCTGGCATCGGTTTCCACTCTGAAGGGTTTCGTGACATTCGCTAACTTCAAAACTGGGTCGCTGAGTAGCGCATCTCTAAGTTTCTCGAATGCCCTTTGGCGAGTAAGATTCCATTCAAAACAGGCATGTTACCCTGTAAGCTCCTCTAACGGTCTTGAAATTGTAGAAAAGTGGTCAATATATCGCCTGAAATAATTTGCAAAACCAAGGAACTGTCTTACTTCCTTGACGGGGAACGGAGGAGACCATTCTTGAACAGCTGCGATTTTCTTGGGTTCACAGCATGCCTGAAACAAGCCATATCGAGGTTGGAAGCTACCCCTCTCAGCAAGAAATTCGAAATTTCAATGGTGGAAGGTATACTACAAACAGAAGAGCCCCGGTCGCTTTTGACTTGTGAGTTGTACGTCGGTGAGAAGCCCTCTGGTGGGGAGAATGTTGCGAAACCACAAGTTCTCAAGAGTGAAAGGCCTTCTCACTTGTGACATTGTGTTCGTTTCAATGCAGTTGTATCCCGACTCCGCCGTACCGCTGATGTTTACGACGTGGTATACGCTACATGCGCTATGTGCGGTTTGCTGTGTGTGCTGTAGTTGTATGTTGTATGTGTATGCTTTTCTCATATACGCTGTCATTTTCACGCTATAACTACCTGGTGGTTTTAGTGTTAGTTATTCATTATTATTAGTCGATCGAAGTGAAATATACTGTCAAGAGTGAATAGTTATCCTCGTGCCGTGTGGTCGTTTGTTCCTGACACTTTAGTGATACGGATTTGGTTGTAGCCTGATCTCAGATCAAGTTTAGAAAAGAACGACTTCCCTGAACGGTGTCAAACAGGTTATCAATTTTTGGAAGGCAAGCCCTGTTCTTTGTTGTTATTTTGTTAAAGTCTCTCCAGTCACAAACCATGCGGAGAGTTTCATCAGCCTTCTTCACAAAGAACACGGGGGCCCCATATGGTGACCTAGTTCCAGAAATGAACATGGCTTCAATAGAATCCGGTTCAAAGCAATCAAGCACCTTACCGGTTGCGATTGGCCTTTCATCCAGTGTAACGAAGTTGACATCGGGGTTATAGCTGGTGAGCCAGGGCCTTCCGAGTATTGCGTCATACATGTACTTGGCAAGTGGACTCTGAAGGCCTGGTGGTCACTGAAATCTGCAACAACTATAATTGAGTCCTTCCATGACACCTGACATCCGACATGATGTGCCGTTAGCCAGGGAAGCATTCAGGACTTCTGAGCTGGATTTTGTTGGGAGTTGGTGCTGACGCACAAAAGCTTCGGATATCAGATCGTGGGTGGACCCAGAATCGATCAGCATAGTTGTGCGGCGACCGTTAATCTTCCCAACAACCCGCAACAGGTCATGCTCTTTGTCAATGACGACATTGCTGAGGTGTACATTTTCAGTAGTTCCAGGTTGCAGCGGTTTGGAGTCCAGTTCATCGTCATCAATGTCGCGGTACGCAGGTTCTTCCACGACCAAGCCAGCAAGCCGGTTGTGAACGGTGATCGGAGCATTGTACCTTGTGCAAAACAGCTACATGAGAGACGGCGTCGAATGCGCCAGCCACATCAACTGCGGTGACCTAACCACGCCACCTCTGGCTGCAACGCGACTCCATTGGTAGTTGAGTGGCGTGAGTCTGTCCCGGGTGCCGAGTTGGCAGCGCAAGTCAAACTGACCTTTCGATAGATTGTGTGCCCCCAGGAACTGTCGGATTGAGTGGTTGATAATGGCCTCCATGACTTTCGACAGAACAGAGATGAGGAAGATCGGGCGGTAGTTCTTGACATCAGACTCAGGATTTTTTTCTTGTGCACCGGCACATTGGCCAGTGCCCTACAGTTGGGCACGTCTATAACGAGCGCCCTCCGCAACCGCGCTACAGTGAGACCTGGTGAGTTGCATCTGTCCTGCAATACCTTGCCAGTCTTTCTGAGAAGCTGGTGGTGCTCATCGCCCTGGCCTAAGCCCCAAGCGTCTTGACGTTGCATGCACTTTCCATACAGAGTATGCGTAAGAAGCCGGATGGCGTGCAGTTCATCTTGACAAGCACCACTGAAACCCATAGGGTAGGCTCTGCACTAAAAAGGTGTGTGCTGCCTCGGTTTGCACAGGCGTCTACACTCTGCCCAGTGGTCTGTCTGAATGAGTATTTGTCCCGCACTATTTCTTTGCGGTCTGCTGCTGACACTGGGCTCTTTGTATCAACTTGCCCCCCTCATCAGGTTGCCAGCTCTGCTACGCTTGCTCGCTGGGTAAAGACCGTACTCAAGGCAGCTGGCATCTCGAGCACATTTACAGCGCATTCAACTCGTGGTGCTTCCACAACGGCGGCTACTGTGGCTGGTGTCACGATGGCTGAGGTACTCGCCGCGGCTGATTTGAGTGGTCAGCATACTTTCATTGAGCACTATTATTGTTCCAGTTCACATCTGTTCATGGATGCTGTCCTCTCGTCTGGCAATGAGATAACCTTTCATCATGACTCTCGTCAATCATGACTCTGTTCACTCTAGCTCTCTCTCTCTCTCTCTCTCTCTCTCTCTCTCTCTCTCTTTCATCCCGGACTCTCTTTGGAGGGCTCTGAAAGCGCTTGGGTTTTCTAAGCGAAAAATAAAAGTTATTTGTAATTTGTGCAGCAAGATGTCTCTGCACATCATCTGGTTGCGACGTCAACAAAAACACTGGTCGGAAGATCCACTTTCCTGAGGTACTGTATACGGGGCTCGGTTTATTGAGGTGCGTTGAAATCTATTCTCTTGATCATATTATTTCTTTTCTATAATTTCCCCATATGAGTTCCTATCAGTTGCTGTGAACACCTTGAGTGGAGAGCGCTTGCTCGAGGGTTGAACCGGGTTCTTAATCCACCATACCCAGTTCGCAAGGCTGGGTGGGATTGTGAGCAGGCTTTCATTTCATCTTTTCTTATTATTTCTGCATCTCATTACAAATTTCTGCCCTTTTTTCTCCATCTGCGCATAAAATCTAGACTGACAACCTACTTTCAGGCGTAAAAACCCTGTTGTAGAGGTCTCAGTCCTCATTTGTTAGACTTACCTGTCTTTATAAATGTAACTTTCTCTCTCTCTCTCTCTCTCCCTGCTTGCAGACTGATGTGAAATCTGAGTTACACGAGGAGTGGAGGCAGAGAATGTGACAGTGTGTTCCCTCCCAGTTGTCAGTGATGTCTGTGAATAGACGTATGCCCTCCCACACTGTCGCATACATATACATGTAAGTCAAGAGCTCCGAAAAGACCAAAGAAGGTCTGGAGTTCGGGAGAAATATGGTGGCGGAGTTTGAAATTTTTCTTTGAATTGCTCTGGTTTTAGGAGCTAATTAGGCCAAACACACTGTCACATTCTCTGCCTCCGCTCCTCGTGTAACTCAGATTCCACATCAGACTGCAAGCAGTCCTTGCGGAATCTTCAATTAACTTACAGGATTTGAAGTTGTGATAGGGTGGCAAATATTTTTGGTGGAATGCTTACAAGGTGATTACCCGCCAGATATCTACAAAGAGAGATGAGAATAGAATAATGCAGTAAGGAAAACACATTTTGGGTACAGTGATGGCCGCCAACATACCAGAAGACTAAACTTTATGTGAAATAATCAATATTCAATAATCATTTTTCTTCTGATAACCGATTCCGTTTATGAAACTCAGAGTTATGAGACCACTTCTGGCCATTCTTCTGTCTGTGTAAGAAATACGCACGGATTTCCAACATTCTTATCGCTTTAGGAACTGCGTTTGCGCCTTGAGCCATGAAGGGTGGTGGCATTCTTGCGCATGCGGAAAATTGGGCCTCTATGCGAGTCTCAGGCGAACTGTGTATTTTTTTCTTCATTTTCATCGGATTGGGAGAATCACAAATTTCAAAAGGTCATGCGGGGAATGAACTGGTTGAAAAGAGAAAAAGAGCAAACACCACCAAAAGTTATCCAATTTCTCATTGAAGTCGTACGAATCGCGATGCCACTGGCGCTAGTCGCGCTGGTTTTCTTTCTGGTCTCCTTTGATCTTGCCATCACAACCTCCCTAACGAAAATGAGTTAGATATCGTGATGGGTTTTATCTGTAAAATGGTGCGGGGGAGATAAGCAACAATTGCGATGAAACGGACCAAGTATTGAACTTCGTTAAGTTTGTTTCTTTCATGTGATCGATGTTTCAGCTTCAGATTTCCTATCGTGCCAATGTGCTGTACTCCCAGCTTTACAAACTAGTCAAAGGATGAGGTCTGCTGAGAGTTAACTTGGTTTTTAACACACCTACGCCTCCCTGACTTCCACAGAAAGTTGCGTTTAAAAAGGTTTTTTTTAAAATACGAGAAATGACCAAATTCTAACATTTGTTAGGTGTGTAACGGAACCTCAGCCATTCCGTTCCCCGGGACGCAGGACACAAAGGACAAGACTTGTTTGTTTCACATCATTTATATTGACATTACCGAGATGGAGACAACACTCAAAGGGACGAACAAGAAGACTGACAAAAGGACTCTCGACTACAAAATCGCGCATGCTCATATCACACATGCACGCGACTAGACGAGACAGTTTGGGGAATGCCATCACACAGGAAAACAACACATCATTTCATAACACCTGCCCCCTTGATGACATTCCACAAAATAATAAACCGACACCACGTTCTACATGCACAACAACAAAAGGAACCACAGCAAAACAGAAAAACCAAAACCAACCAACAGCTTACATTGTAGCACAACAAAACTGGGCCACGACACAGGGCCAAACTAAGACACAAGAGCCGACGCTCTCAACCAAGTAGCACCACAGGGCAAAACCAAAAAACACAAGAGCCGACGCTCTAAACTCAGGCACACAAGGCCAACCGAAACACGAGAGCCAAAGCTCCAACAAATAACAACATGCGCGCAGCAGCGCAAAATAAATCTACAACGTAAATTAATGCAGAACAACAGAACGACGAGAAGAGCAAAATTACCGACTACCAAACTCAACAACACAGCAACGAACTGAACAGCGAGAGAAACACGATCAGACAACACAGCGAGCAAGACAACAACAAGACGAACAACAAAGGACGACACACAGTCGGTGATGCCAGACTCATCCACTGGCCACTGGCGAGCCACGGCCACATGCTCCATGCTGTACCTGCCGTCCCAGGCTCCAGTCCGCAGCTTCTGCCGGTCTAACCACCTGCTCTGCCTCCTCTTCCACCGTCTTGCGCTCCCACCAGCTCCTCTCCTGACCTCCTCCATTCCCACGCATACTTTATAGTTTTACTTTGTTGTTGACGACGACGGCGAACAGACTCACTACAAACTAACTCATTCTCTGCGTCCTGGGTTTCGGCACCACGTTGTAACGGAACCTCAGCCATTCCGTTCCCCGGGACGCAGGACACAAAGGATAAGACTTGTTTGTTTCACATTATTTATATTGACATTACGGAAATGGAGACAACACTCAAAGGGACGAACAAGAAGACTGACAAGAGGACTCTCGACTACAAAATCGCGCATGCTCATATCACACATGCACGCGACTAGATGAGACAGTTTGGGGAATGCCATCACACAGAAAAAACAACACATCATTTCATAACAGGTGCCTCCTCCCGTACAATCTTATCTACAACATTTCCTAAGCTGACCGGCCTGCATGCACCCGTACTATGTCATACTCAACTTTCGTTCCGTTGGCCTGGGTAGCTACTTGCACGCCCAGGTTTTCGATAGCTACCCAGGCCCTTTATATTGCTTTGTTTCTCAGTTGATCACTCTCTCTCTTCAGTAATCTCTCTCTTCAATAATTTCACTCTTCAAATTAGTCGTTCGTTTGTCTTGATCTCTTGTCTCGTCGTCTATAATAAATGTTGTTCCCAATAACTTGTTCCCGTTGTTCATTGTATTGTCTGGAGAAGATGTCGTCAGTTGTCCTTCTTCGGACCCAACACATTGCTCTGTTTTGCTGCCAAGGTCATCAAGGTTTATTTGAATTCTTTACTCTCACGAGTCGCGATGGCACCATCACCAATAAGAGATACATTTATGAGAAGGTGAGATGCTGTGGATGGGGCTGTGGTCTATGCAGTTGGAAAATGATTTACATCACTTTGAATTTTAAAAGTATGGGAGAGGGTGAGCATTGCAATAGCAGATTGAGTTATCCCTTTGAGGACCGAGGACGAGATAACTCGTCCAAAAAAAGTACGCTGAATTCCCGAGGACGAGTATACTCGTACTGAGAGTGCATACATTTGTACAGTGCATATACACCAGGGAAAGAGTGTGTTACTACCTACATGGGAGCTCGCGGTTTCCCTGCCGACTTGAATTCTCACTTGAATGACTCACGACTGCCATCCAGAGCACACGAGAAGTCCATCGAATCGTCCACCGTCCACCGTCCACATCGAACTGTCCACTCTTGCATACCTGCAAGAAAGCATCACTCCCTGATCAAGACACAGTGTTTCGGGGAATTCACTCCTCATCAGTTGAGCTTGAGTAGGCTGAGGAAGATTGTGCCAGAAGAGCACCACTTATATAGTGCTCTCTAGGCACAAACATCACCAGGGAGACAAACTTACAGAGACGCTCTGTTTCCAGCGTCACAAACACCTCGTAAACACCAGATAGCAGCGTGAGTCAGTGTTGCTCATGGAGGTGCTGAACAAGCCCTGAGGACCGTTGGCCATTCACAACGCTGTTGCCTCCAAACAATCTAATTCGCAAGCCCGTGCTGGGGACAACAATGTGAAGAAGAAGGTGGTGCAACTTCGGCGATAGTAGGGGGGAGGGGGCTGGGGGGAGTCGCACCAACCTCTTCTTCGAATATACACTAGTGTCCAAATTATCGTAACTCTGGTGTCCCTTCTCCGTTCATTCATCGTTGGAAAGCTGATAGAATTAGCTTTCCAGTGATATGTCGTTTGGCATAGAGTGATGTGGATTCACAGGGCATCAAAGAGCGAAACACAAAGGTACACTGGAACTTTTTGACAAATTGTACGCGCAGAGATCTGCACCTATCAGCATGTCTCAAATGGGGGACTTCCCCTATGACTCATCGTTGCATGGCGCATGCGAAATAGAGCCCAAAGGATTCGCTTTAGCTTCATGAAAATGGAGAACTTTGAATCGTTGTGCTGCGTTGAGTAAAACTTCAGAACCAAAGAAATTTGCCGAGGTAGTTTTTTTGTTGTTCCCAAATGTAGCTAAGGAGAGTATTTCATCCGATTGTGGGGAAATCAAGCTCATGTCGATAAGGTTTGGTGATGTATGTCTTGGTGGAGCCGGTATCAAAGAGAAATGGCCATTGATCGGCTTCAACTTGGAGGAGAGAAACGGTGCCACAGCAGTTTACGTCATGATCTGGTGATCGGCGTTCGCGACCGTGCTGGTAACAGGCTTAGGTTTGAAGGACTGAGCATTTGGGTTCATGGTGAAAGCTTGCCTCTTGGATGTAGCGGTGAATTTCTCTGGAACAAGCTGCTGTGGTGGGCAGGATTATGGCAATAAAAACACCGCCGTTTGCTTGAGCAATCGTGCAAGGAGTGGCCTGATCGCAAACACTTAAAACACCTTTGTTTACCTACTCAAAACACATACTCTTTTGGGCTTCGCTTTTGAAGACATAGCTGAAGCTGAGGCGGCAAGAGATTGACCGGACGCGCTGACAAATGGGGAGTCATGCGATCTTTTTGGCGTCTGACTGAGGCAATCTGCTCCTTCATTCGCTATGATGAAGTTGGCTCCTGCCGCTCGCAAGTCAGAAACGGTGCAAGATTTTGGCCCCTTTTTTAACTCCAATGTCACTAGCGTGGTTTGTGGCAATTTGTTCGTAATCATCGACACAAACACCGCTTGACTGACATTCTCACCAAGTGCTGTGAGGCTTCGCAAGTGCACTTCTAATGCATCGTGCAACCTACGCAAAGATGGAGTAGCGTTGGAAGCAGGCGGTAAGTCCATGGTTGCCGTGTAATGTGCATTGACGCGAAGCTGATCATTTCCGAGACGTTTACGGAGAATGTCAAGCGCGGTTTGGTAGTGGTATCTGATATGGGCAAGCCAGCTATGGCATCCCGAGCCAAACCAATTCCGTGGTCTCTGTACACCCGACAGCCCTTGATTCGCATCGATAGAAGCAAAAAACATATTTATCGTGAAAGCGCATTTCAGAAAATCACCAGAAAATGTTGGTATTTCAAATTTTGGCAAATAATTTTGACTGAACTTGTTGGAACTGTGCGTGGTTGAGGTGTTGATGCTTGCATTTATTGTACGACTAGTTGGTGCTGTTTGATTAGACCCTCTTGCGACTGTAAGACTTGCTGATGTTGACTGTGTGTAACAGAATGTGTACGAACAAGATCTCCTATTGATAATAATAATAATCTTTATTTCAGGATTACCCAAAGGCTGACGCCTATCGGGGGATCTTCTATTTGTGTATATACAATGAACATTGAAGTTGGGTAAAAGAGAAAATGTGCAAAATGAGTTCGG